GGCTGGCAGGGAGGGCAGAGCCCCGTGTCCCCAGCCGTGTCTGGCCTTGGCGCTCTGCCGTCCCTGGCACGGTGCGGGGAGGTGGGGGAAAAAGAGCTGATAAACACGGAGGGCTCTACTGTGCTCGAGTGTCCCGCACTGGAGAGAACAGTCTGTGATTCGTCCCTGTGTGCAGGAGGCAGCATCCGTGGTCTCCACAGAAGTATCAATAAGTTAAGCTGCCGTGGCCTGAACACATTAACCAGTTTTGCCACTTTCTGTGCCAACTATGTGCTCTTTGCCTGCTCCAGTTCTGCATGTGCTGGGTCCCCTGCATGCAGGGGATGAGGCAGTAAGTCCCCCAGTGTGGCCGTCCTGGGCAGCGTGCCGGCCTCTTCCTTGGCACTGCAAGTCGCCTTGCCTGTGCCGTGCTTTCTGCTGCCCAAAGTGGGCGATGAGCCTCTCCTTCCCTGAAGTCACCTGCTAACTAAACTCACGCATTGGAATTCCTGATCCACGGCAATTGATTGCAATGCAAAACCCCAGCAGAGCCTCGCGCTCCACCCTGGAATTCATTGCGGAGTTGCCGAGCCCTAGGAGGGCTCAAATACCTCTGTGTCATGGGAGCCGAGTGCGGCAGGGCCGCGCGTGGGCTGAAATGATGGGGTCCTGAAACGCCTCGACCCAGGTCTCTGGGTGGGGAGCTGTGGAGCTTCTCCCTGCGTGTTGCATAACTGGCCACATTCTTTCGGGGAAGGATTCACCTTTCTGTGAAGTGCGTGACACTCTGTGTGAAGCAGAGGCGGTTTTGCTCCACCAGGGTTTTGTCACTTCTAGTAACTCTTAGAAACTCGACAAAATACTCAATTTTTCTTTCAAGTGGCGGCTTGGAGCAGAATGAAGGTGTCAGCTGGGTTGGCAGTTTGCTGCCTTCCCTGTTTTGTGCTCGCTGTGTTGCGTTGTTTCACTTGCTTTTTCTTTTCCTCTGAGCGATGAGTGTGAGCTTCCCTGGCGTGCCTGCACTTGTTCTGGTGCAGGCTGTCCTCTTGGGCTGCACAGAGGGGTAACATGAGTGTGTCAGCTACGTGTAGGCTTGAACTCCTGCCATTATCAAACCCCTGTGAATGAATGAGCGTTGGCACCGCACTGTGCTAAAACGTCACTTCTGCACGGGTTTGTGGCACACGAGAGTTGTGTGGAGCCCAGCCCTAAAAGTCTGAAGTCCTATGACTCCAAATCCATGTTTTCACTGGACAAAAGTTGATGCTTTTAGTTATTTTACTATAGGCTCTACAAGAACTAGTCGGAATTTTCTAGTCTCTTCCTTGGCAAACATAAGCTTAAAACTTTTCTCCTTTGTTGTACTTGGCTATAGCTGTAATGTGACCCTTTTTGGGGGGAGAATAACTTGTTTTCAGTTTTGTAATTAAGCATAGGGCAAAGTTCTGCCCCTGTTAGGAACTAGGTATTTCCAGAGGCAGAAAATACTGTATATACATATATATATATATTTTTTTTTATCCTGGACCTCTTGAGAGCTGGGGATAATTCAGTTGTTGCCTGAATAGTTTGGCTTGTGTGATGGCTGATGTCCATCTATTGAACTGGGGACCTCAAAAGCTAACTGTCTGTAGCCTGAGTGGAAAAAACTATGCTTTTCAAGGGAGAGCACCAGTAAACTGCCTCTGTTTTCCCCATGAGCTGATTGGTATTATGTGAAATTGGGCTGCCTGTGAGAGTTCATGGGGAAATGCCTAAACAATGAGAGCTGTTCAGCCCTTTGAGGGACTCTTATCTATTTAAAACAGACATTCTGGTCCAGTAAGCTATTTTATCACTACTTAGCCCAATGGGTGTAGATGGTGCTGCAGGATACAGAATTGTCAGATGAAAAAAACCTGCCCCTAGAATCATAGTGCAGAGGCCTTAGTGGGTGGGAAACAATAGTCACCATTTTCTATTTGGGAGTTTTCATGGAGAGCTTGGGATTCTGCTCTTTAAAGAGTGGAGGGGGGGGAAAAAAAAAGTTTTTGCATCCTCTGAATGCTTAGGAAGCAGCTCAAGCTGTAGCTTTTTACTTCTCGCATGTGGCATGGTGACCCTGTAATTTAACATCCAAATGCCACCCGACTGGGCACAAGGAGTTTCGGCACACAGCATATTGTTAATGCAAAGTGTGTCTTCTGCTGTAATCAGCCAGATCTGTTTTGGTGACTGGTACAGTAGTTTCATCAAGCTCTTCCAGGCTGAACTGTGGGCTGAAGCTGGGCAGTGCTGTGAGGCAACAAGTGTGACTGGCATCCCAATCATATTTCAGCCTGCCGTGGTTCCTTTCTGTGAGCTGCACGATGGGAAGGAGCCTTTGAGACTTCCCATGGTCTGAATTTGTGTGCACTAAATCCAGCAGTTGCCGCTGAACAGGCATATGAGGGATCTCCATGGTATCAGGGCCCTGGCTCCAGAGGCATTAGGCTTGCACAGCATTTCATGTTCTCCTAGTAGATGACTGATAGGGCTCTGTTTGTCATGAATTGGCATTAAACTTTCCAGGCTAGTGGAGTGAGACCTGCTGCAGGCAGCCCAGAGCTGACAGTGCTTTAAGTCTCCACTTGCATCTGTCAACGCTATAAGCTTGCCCAACCCATGTGTCTCCTGTCTGGAGGATATGGTACGAGCTTTATGGGCTATTGGGAACATGGTGAATCTCTTCAGTTGCCTACAGAGGATCATCTAGTGGTGCTGGCCTCCCTCTCTCCTTCTGTCCTTGTCAGCCTCTGCTGTTCCCATACATACTGAGCTGGGGAGAGCTCTAAAGTAGGTTTGCTCCCTCTCTCTGGCAAGGGCAACTGGCCTTTATGGAGACTGGGAAAAGTTGCAGTATATTTCATTTCTTGAATAACTCTAGGTATTTATTATTGCTTCTCGGAGCTTTCAGTCTGCCCTTTCTTATACTAAGAGTACTTGCTCCACTGCCTGGAAACAGGGGTAAAAGCCTGGTGTTGATTCCAGCGAAGCTGGAGGGTGCTCTGCTAATGTGCACAAATCTCTAAAGGCAGAAACTCAGAGCCTGTCTTGCACAGCTGTGCTGTGCTGTCATCTTCTAAATGGGGACAGCTGAGCTTGTGAACCAGGCCAGCACCCAAAATGGGAAGTGCTTCCTGAGAGAAGGCAGATACTGCTGTGTCTGCTGAGACAGAGGGAGGGCTAGCACCAGCACAAACAAATGTCTCTTGACCTGTGGGATAGGAGTTGGTTCAGGAAGTCCTGAAGAAACCCCTCTGGATTGTCTGTTTGTACTTCACTTTTTTAATTAAAAAAAGCTTCCCACTGTTCTCTCTTCACTTGTCAGGTTGGACTGAAGATGAGAAGATCTGTGTTCTGGGCAATGGGGCGATAAACCAAATGACATTCCGGTCATGCCAAGTAGTTAACTTCTGTAGCATGTGCCTTTTGCGCTGAGTGTCCCAGGCTCTTGTCTCCTCTTGGAGTCTGGAATATGAAGTGTTCTTATACTGACAGTCCTATTCCTCAGCTTGAGATTCAGAAATTGATTTGAAGAGAGCTGAAAAGCAGACTTTGTGTAGACACTTTGAAAGCAGACTAAAGTTCTTGTGTAATGTATGTTCTTCCTGAAAGTAGTTATATTGTGTGAAGTATGGAAGTCACAGTGCAGGCTAGTTTGTAAGGGCTGCCCACTTGAACCTTGCTATCTCTGCCTGTCCCTGGGAAATATGCCAAAAAGGCATATGGGTACCTTGAGGAATGGAGTACTGTCAAAATAATTGAATCTGCCCAACATATCTCAGACCAAGAGATGCTTTGAAGGGAATCTAAGTTGCTAGATGTTTTCTCCACTCCAAAGAAGAAAATTTTTGTTCTTTTCACATGCCTGGTCCCAGAAAAGACTGCAGCCATCTAAAATGACTCTGAGGTAGTCTGTCCATAGTCCTGCCAGTTCATGTGGCTCTGAACTCTGCCTTACCCTTGCAGATGTTCTTTACGTTGTTTAGATTTTTCCTGTGAGGAAACAATTGAGTAAACCTAGCTCCAGTGAAAGAAGTGAACAAAGAGCCTCGTCACCCTCAAAGTGGAGGAACTGACCAAACAGTACACACCAAACAGTGTGATGCTTCTCACCTCATGCTTTTCCCTTCCCCAAAAGAGAGCTGTCCCACAGCTCAGTCCCATCTTATTCAGCTCTCCCTTTAGAGTAACTTGTGCTCCCTTCTACAGCCTGTTTGTGGTGTGGAGCTGTGCAGGGCATGGGATAGATTTCAGGGACTCACTGATGCACAATCTTCTTTTGGGCTCTTGTTTGCATTGTATGAATACTTGGGGGAAGGTGTTCACAGAAATATTGTTGGTAAACTATCAGCTTTCACCAAGCCAAACCAGAATCCTGTTTGATACAACCAGAAATAAGGAAATGCAGTGCTTAGAACTGACTGGTTATGATTGCCATGCAGTTGGTCTGAATGACAAAATACTTGATTTCTCCCCCTCAGAAAGCAACTATTATAGTGGAAACTAAGCTTTGGTAAAATGAAGCTGAAAAGCTTTGGTGTAGAGGTACACAGAGCTACAGCTGGATTAAAATATGCTAACTCCCAAATGGAAGGAGAGGCAGAAGAAGCTGGAGTCACTTGACTACCCTGCAGCCTCTAGCAGGGCACTCCTAGAATGGAGCTAACTGGGCTATGCTCCTTCTGGAGATGGTTTGATTGCAGTTTGCTCCATTAAGGCTTGTAAACGTATTCAAGTAAACTTGATCCTTGCTCAGGGGGTTACAAGGTGACTCAATCACAGAAGGAGAATGTTAGCCCACGTCAATGGAACAGTTTCCTGTCTCTCTCTCTAAAAAAGGCAGGAACCTGTGCATGTTATTCTTCTCTTTTGCTGTGGGTAGGCCAGGGCATTCTGTCCTGTTAGAATCATTGCTGTTCAAGTACAGATGGGGAACAAAGCAAACTTTCTTACTCCAAGCTGGGAGGAGGTGCACTAGCTCAGCCTGCTGTTGTGGTATCTTAGAGGCTACCACGTTACAGGATGGACTATGGATCTTGTTTAGTAAGTTGCTGAGTGCAAAAGCTTGTGACAAGGTGAAATGCATATTAAATATTGGCAAAACTGTCCACACATGGACTGCTCATGAGGAGTAGGATTAAAACACCTGTTTCAGTGATGCTTTAGGAAAGAATAGCTTTGTAACACACCTTGCTTTCTGGTGAAGAGGTAACCTGGTTGCATAATGTAGCTGACAAGCTGGCTCTGACATGGTAAGTAGGATGCATGCAGCATGGAAGCAAGGCAGGTGGCTCAGGAGACTGGGGCAGCTGCCTGTTAAATACAGACAATCACTGACTTCTAAAGCTTTTCTTGCAGTGATGTTGAACATACTGAATAAACCTGTTGCCCTGCTAGTGTGGTATGCTGTTGTCCAGCTGCTGACAGCACTGATTCCCCTGTGCTTTGCTCTGTGGGCATTTGAGCTTACAATCAATTTTTCCCTAGGAAGAACAATCGAGAAGAACAAACTAACAAACTTTGGTAATCCAACACATTCCCCCATTTATGTTGCCTGATAACTCCTGTGTTGACCAGGATGGTGCTGTGTTCCTGCAACACTAAAGATCTCCTGAGCCACATTGGGAAAGACAGTGGTGTGTGTGGTGTGTTTTTTTTTTTTTTTTTTTTTTCTCTCCTCCTCTGACACAACACCATTTATATGAGACTTTCTGCCTGGCACAGCTATTATGGTTAGAAATCTTAACCCTTAGATCAGCAACAGTGTTAAGGCAGAAGCCTGTTCTCCAGCCTGATCTGTACCACCTGGGCAGGGAAGTAACCTGAAGCTAATAAATGTGAGAAGTATTTCATTCTGCCTGCACACTTAAAAACAACTTAGGATAAGACAAAGAGGGGGATGCCTGTCAGCAGGGCATTAGCTCAACCTCAGCTCTGGAGAGAGTGCTGCTTAAAGCAGGGGAGAGCGAGGGAGTAGCCCATAGGCTCAAGAGAAGCCTTAAGTGCAGGAGGATCTCATCTGTATTTTAGTACTTCAGTAAAACCATGGGGAATCCTGCGGGTGGAAAGCTACTTGATCTCTAGAGAATTGCTGTCCTGGAGACAGGCTTCTCTTGCAGGCCTGCATGGAGCTGAAGTGACCCCTGTGTGTAGTTACTGTTCTGCCTAATGTCTCTTGTCTCCCCAGCTGGAGAAGCCCAGCTGAAATCTTTTTGAAACTGCACAGGCAGCCCTGGCAGGCTCCGATCCCGAGGGAGCGGCTGGGAAATGCTGGGTATTGGTCCCTGTCTTGACTGGGTGTCTTCTGAGGGTGTGACTGCAGCAATGGGATAAATATCTCAGATGTTTTTGCTGGGTAGAAGTCACTTCATGTTCACAGAGTTTCTGGAGTTTTGTGCTACCTGGCACTCCAACTGCAGAGAACTGCCTCCCCCCTCTTCCCCACACACACATCTTGGAAAGAGGAGGTAAATGTCAGTGCTCTTATATAATACCAGTGGAGAGCAACTACTGGGACATGAGTCACTGGTTCACAGCTACTGAATGTTTGTCTGCAGCAATGGGGAAGCCAGGGGGAAGCCCTGTCCTGTGCCCTGTTTCATCCTCTGCATCAGGAACCTTCCTAGCTCTGCTGCACCACCAGCAACCCTGTTCACTGCTCTCTGCTAGTGTCATGTGGTGCCTCCTGGCTCCAGGCGTCTGCTTCCTTTCTGACAACAAATGAGCAGAAAAAGTGTTTTCAGCTCTCCTGCCCTGAGTAAGGGAAGAGGGCAGGCATGGCAGTAGTCCTGTATATTTTGATTGCTTAGATGGAAATGTTTATTTGCAACCTAAGCAGGAAGTGCCCTGTGGAAACAGCACCTCCACGACTGCCTAGCCTACAGGAAAGGTAACTCTTTGGGAACCAAACAAATGGGTTGCAGAGGTCTCACACTGTTGCACTCTTGTCTTAAGGTGGAAATGAGCTAGCAGCAGCCCACTGCTGATTAAGACTCTGCTTAGCTTGGCTTTTAATGCCTAGACAGAAATTGCTCCATAGTAAAAATGCCTGTCAACCAAAGCCCTAATTACTGAATAAATATTCAACTTTTCCCTAGCTCTGTCTGTATCCACTGCTTGCTGTACTATTTGGGAAAGAAGCTGGGCAGAAGGCCTTGTCTGGCACAGTTTGTGCTCTGTTTCTATGGAGGAATCCCTGCAGGGCTGTATGCAGCAGCTCTTTGAGCACTTGCAGAGTTCAGAGGCTTGTTCTTGGCAAACTTAAAATAATTGTTCACAAGGAGCCTCAGGAGGCAGTGAAGCCATGTACAGAAGTGATGCCCTGGGCATTTGGAGGGTGGAAGTACTGGAGTGCGGTACAGATGGGGGAGAATCTCTGTGGCTTACCTGCCTTAGGGAAATACTTCTGTTCTGCAGAAGAGAAACTCACTACAGTGTCTAGAAGCCTTAACTGTGGATCAGGATCTGGCTGTACTAGTGTCATGCAAACAACAAAGCCACTTTCCACATTGCCAGATTATAGATGTCTAAAGGTTTTAGCCTGTTGCACTGGTCAGTAGATACAGAAACTGCAGTCTGGGATGTGTGACCAACTGGAGCTGGGTGAGAGCAGCAATGTGCTGGAGAGGCCAAAGAAGGCAGGGGAGCTCCAAGGAGCATAGCTGGTGTGTAGCTCCCTGTGTGTAGCTAAGTCCCCCTTAGTGCAGCTCCTGGCCCTGTGGAAAAGGGAGATGCACTTTGCCAATCAGTGTTCCTGGCACCCTCTTTCCTCACTGTCCTTGGGGCCCTTTCACCCAGCTTGGGTTTGCCAGCACCAACTGCTCTGCCACAAGCCCTGTGGTCCTGCTGGGTGCAGGGCATGAAGCTGTCTCATGGCCTGATGATTAAAAGGCTGCAAAAACTGTACAGAGATAAGACTACCTCCACCTGTGCAAACTTCTCTCTGCCCATGTGGGAGACTGACCAGGTATCACCTGCTTTTTCCTGTGGCTGTGTTTCAGTCTTGTTTGTTGGAAGCTAATTAAAGGTGGGAGCAACTCTGCCATAGCAAGTGCTTTGGCATTCCCAGAATGGAGCTCAGTATCAGTGAAGCAGTCATGAGCCATTGCAACACATGCTCATAATGACAGACCCAGGGCCAGTTCAGAGTAGCTAATAGGGAGCTGGTAGCAGCTGTGGCCCAAAAATGTGGGAGAAGGTGGCTGTAGGAAGGAGGAAACACTCTTTAGCCCTACCAGAAAGAGGGGTTGTAGCTCTGCAGAAATCCCACCTGCATGTTCATCTTGTACAGCCAGTGTTGCTGGTGATAATGCTGTCTGTGATGCTCCTGTGTGGTGTGAATAGAGTTCTCTCTGCTTCAGAGAGCTCATCTTTGCAGAAACTGCAGCACAGGCTCAAGTAACTCTTATTTTCTCCTGCTTCCTCTTTCAGCTCTAGTAGAGAAATGTTGCTCTGCCCTGCAAGTCTGACTTGCTGGGTATCCTGCTCTTAAGAGGTGGCAGTGATATTGGGAAGCACCCTGGTTTTGACCCACATACTTCCAATGACTCTGGCTATATTTCTTGTCCTGTACAGGCTGTGCCAGTCCTCCTGAATTACATGATGGCTCCTGCTACACTAAGCTCTTAACAAGGTATTCCTGTCATCTCTCTACATTGCCATATAACAGCCTTCAGACCTTGGCATGTATTAATAATCATCTATTCACTTTTCCTGGCAAACCTAAACTTTTCCCCTGGTCTCAAGCTCTTGGCAGTTCATAATACATATGATGTTTCAGGAATAACTAGGCATGAGGGAGTGGAGTTGGCAATCTATTTGCCCTTCCTGGGCTCAGGGTGACAGCAGCAGCTGTTCCTCAGCCCCCGTGTGCAGTACGGAGCACCTTCTGTAAGGCTGCGTGCAGATCCAATTTGAGCTGCTGACTGACGTGGGCTAATGGAGTGTATGAGGTCCAGAAAAAGCCCAGCTGAAATGGTCCTCCTCATTCTTTGACCTTTTTGCTTCTACCAGGACAGATTTTTCTGGACTTCTATAAAGTCTGTACAACTGCTATGGTAATAAGTATTTTACTGGTTGCTGCTTGGATCATGGAGCTCAACTTTCAAATTCTCCTACACTGCTACTTTGTTAATAGAGCCTTAAGCTGTAGGGTGCCTTGACACACAATGTTTTGAACACCAAAAACTCATGTGGGTGTAAAGGGAGACTGGAGAAGTTAATGGAAGAGAAATCCATCATGGGTTACTAAATTCATGGATGCCACATTCAGCTCAGGCAGCCCCTGTCAACAAATGGTTGGAGGCTTGGAGAGCTTGCGGGGAGGCACCATGTGTGCCTGCTCTGTTCTCAAAGCCAGGGAAGATGCTGCTTTTGGCCACTGTCTGCAAAGGTCACTGGGCAATAAGGCCCCATGGTCTAATCCAGCATAGCTATTGCGTTTCACAGCCTGCAGAGATTGATGATAAAGCCCATTATTTGGGTTTAACTCCTGAGGAAAGTAAGTAGGCTTGGCTCAGATTTAATGTGGAAACTGCAGGAAAAAAAACAGATTTGAAGATTTGAGTTATATTTTTAATGATGGCTCTGCAAATGAATGGCCACACTCCAACAGTCTTTTGCATTTACCCCCAAACTCCAGTGCTATGTATTCAGCCTGAACTGGAAACTAGAGCCAGAAGGCACAATTGGGATTTGTTGCTTCCTGATAAAGTGTGTGGCCGTGAACGGAAGTGTGTGTGGCAGGGGGGAGGCAGCACAAAGTGCTGCAGCCCTCGTGGATTATATCTAACTGATCTGCCTCTTCACGACGACAGAGAAAGAAAAGTTCTGGCAGGCAGATCTGTCTATACTTTAAAGCATTTTTGGGGGGTAGGAGGTAAAGGGTTAATCTCAGCAATTTCAGGAATGTATAGTATGGGTTTTACTGGCTAACCACTGGTAAATTGTGAAGGTTTATGATGCACTGTAACTTTTTAACCAAGTGACCTGAATCTCTTAAGTGTCCAACTCTTTCCCCAGCAAAGGTCACTAGTCTGTCTGCAATAACCCACTCCCCATTCCTTTCCTTGTCTCTTTCCTCACATCTGCTCCAGAACTGTCTTAACTAACCAAAAATCCCCTTTCCTCCTGGGTTTTGCTGTTTCTGTTCTCTGAGCTGTATTAACTTTAGGTTAGGACTGAGCTGTCCTAACCCCATAGCCTGAGCCAGGTGGGTACAGTTGAATGAGCAGAAGGGCTTTTTTACACTTTTTGCATTTGAAATAAATTTCCAGAGAAATGGATATGAGGTAATCGGAGCTCTTTCCACCCTCACCCTCCCCTAGCCCCCACAAGCCTTTTTATTTCCTCGTCCTCTGGAAAGTTGGTGGCAATTACCAGTGACATAATGGTAAAATTAGGACTTCTGGCCAAGTATTTCTGACAATGTGATGGAAGTGGCTCACAGAGCTAAGGGCCAAAGCTGCAGAACCATGTGCCCTGCCAGGCAGTGCTGTGTGCACTGGTGTTAGAGGGACTCAGGCTTTGTTAGCAGAATGTATATTTTAAGCAGAATTACTTACTTGTTTGCCTTGTATGTCAATCTCTGTCACTCTTAACAAGAAGAGACCAGCGGGAGTATGCCTGTGTTTCCTGCAAGTCAGCTAGGTCTCAAAGTGAGGGCAGCAGTACATGGAGGCAGTGGGGTCCGCTAGACCAGAGCAAGCTCAGCGAGGGGGGCCCAGGCCCCTTGCGCTGTGCCTGGGGAACATGCCGAATTTAGACCTTCCCAAAGGCGGTGAGCTGCTCCCCGTGCTCAGCTGTTGTGACGCTACCTTTCCCGCACGGTGCCGTCATGCCGCCCCAGTGTTTCTATTTTAACTCTCGGTGGGGCTGGATCTTGTGACACAAGGATTTGGCATCTCTGCTACGTGCTGGAACGTGGCACCTCAGGCGGCACAGGGGCTGCAGCTGCTATATCAGAGGGTGCCCCTCCTAGGAGCTGGCAGATGGAACACCCTCATTTGTACCCTGGGACATGCCAGAATGGGCAGCATCCCTGTGAAGAAGTGCTTGTGTCTAACTGTGCCTGTCTGTGTCTCCCTCAGCCCATTTTGAGGTGCTTGAAGAGCTCAGGACATCGAGGAGCAGCAGGCAGCAGCAGCGGGCAGCTGCCAAGTGTGTTTTCTTTCAGCTTTCAGGTATGTAGTATCTGGGGATGTGAGTAAAGCTGCTTGCCTTGGAGGCACATAAGATAACTTTTGCAGCCTTCTGATGGATGAAGGGTGGGAATGAGGATGGCTGCTGGAGTGGGTGGTGGTGTTCAGGTTTTGAGGTTTGTGTGCCTGTGTCACATCTCACTTAACTCACTTCTGTGGCTGTGGTATTCAGCACTTGGAGCCTCTGGAGAAGCCTGGGAACAGCATTAATATACTGCTCATACTCTGCATGGAGACTGGGCAAACAGAGCCAGTCTCTAGAAGAAATGGAGGAAGCTGCTGCACCCTGTGTTTGGGCACCCTGTGCCGTGGCTTACCCTGTGTTATGGCAGACATGCTGAGAAGGATTTGCAGGGGACGGGATATAGGGACTCTTAAATTTATCTTCATCCCTCTGCTGTGTGCTTTGGGGGCTGGCAGAATAAGCAGATACCTTTCTGGGGTGTGAGGGAAGCTTTTTATATCCAGGAATGTGCAAGAGGAGAAGTAGCGGTGGAGGACGTGTTTGCTGCGTTAACCCAGGCTTGCCTAGGATGGAGGGGCCTGTGTGTGATACTGGACTTCTTATTCCCTCTCTGCTTTCTGTGCAATCACAGGAGCATCCTTGAGCCTCTCCATAGAGAATTCCTAGTATTGCACCAAGTTGGGAACAAAATGGCAGCCCAAACTTATACAGGAGAACAGGCAGAAATACTGAGACAGCAGCAGGTGAGATGCACCTCTCCTTCCACCCTAGATCTTAAGCCTAAAGCCATGATAGCCTTGAGCGTAATGGAAGCAAGAGCTCTACAGAGATGTTCGTGGGGAGGCAGAGCTGCTGTGGAAGCAGTGGCCGAGCTGCAGGGCCCTCGGGCTGGGTGCCCTGCAGAGCTCCTTGGGGCTCCTTTGGAGCCCAGCTCAGCTGGTGGGCAGGTCAGAGGCTCTCCCTGTCCAGGACATGCCTGCTCATTGCTCAGCCTGTTTTCTCCGGTCAGTTGGTGTAATCCCTTAATCCTGACTCATGTTGGGAAATTGGAGTCATCTCTGACAGAAGACTTGTTTTTAAGTGTTTAAAGGCACATTTCAAGCATCTTTAGCTACTTCACTTTCTGTAGCTTTTACTAGTCTCTTGAGACCCTTGGTTAAGAAAGGAATCTCTGCAGAGGTATCTGCTGCTGAAAGGTGTTGGATTTGCCAACATCTCCAAGGTGTGTACAGCTGAGTTTTGGCAAGGTTGTCTTCTACAACACTCATTCCAAAAGTGCTTTAGGTACACCAAGGACACCATCCTCCTGCAGGGAGGAAGGAGGTTCCGTCCTAAGTACCTCTCCAGTATCCAGCCAATTAGCTAGGGATACAGCAATGCTAATACTTGCCTGCAGGATGGTAAGTTGGGCTCTTGCAGGTGTAAAACAACTGTTCTTTACAAAGGTTCATCAGTACTGTGTTAAAAACTGTTTTTCTCTCTTTTCAGTTTAACTGAAATCTGCAAAAATTCTCTGCTGCAAGAAAAGAGGGGCAATGTCATCAGAAGATGATGCTGGTGGGGAGGCTCCTGGGGGCAGTTTCTGGGAGGTAAGGAAGGATGATGAGGGTGTGAGGGAGGCAGGAATGTCATCTTTCCTCCCACTCACAGAATTAGGGGTGTGAGGTTTCAAGTTACAGGATGACAAGTTGCTCTGGAAGTGAAAGGCAGGGAGGAACTGTGGGGAGGTTCAATAACAAGTTGTATGTCACTGCATGGAGCAGGTTGCCCTTTCCTCCCCAAGTGCTGTCCTCCTTGTGCAGCTGATACTGAGCTGTGGGAGGTAACCAGGGCATTTCAGCTCCTTCCTGCTCTGCCTCAAGCAAGAGAGCACTGCAAGGAAGATCAGAGCCCAGCTGCTGGTTTCAGGAGGGCCTGAGCTCTGTCACTATGCAATGACTGACCTGCTGCTGCCTGCTCTGAAGGGATGTGAGAGTCGGTACAGCAGAGGTGACAAAACTGTATTGCATTTCAGGCTGGAAACTATAGGTGGACAGTGAAGCGTGTGGACGACGGACACCGGCTCTGCAATGACTTAATCTCCTGCTTCCAGGAGCGAGCCAAGATAGAGAAGAACTATGCCCAGCAGCTAACAGAGTGGTCCCGCAAATGGAGGAGCAATGTGGAGAAGGGTGAGGGATGCAGGCTGGGGTGGGAGCAGGCTGTGGGAGTTGCACTGTTCCTTGAGGACAGTGCTGCAGGGGGTGAGGCTGTTTCTTTGGGAGACAAGCTGTTCTTCAAGCAGGTGGCTTTCTTTTGCACTTCTTCTTTAATGAAGCTTTCCTGGCTGCTTTCTTCTGGCAGCCAGTCTTCGCATTTCCTTTGAGAGGCAGTGTTTGGTAACAAAAAACACCTTTATTCATTTAGTCTGGTGAGTCCTTGGGCCAGTCCAAGTCCAGTGTTGAATCAAACTGCAGATATCCCCTTTTAAAGATGCTTGGCAGGTTCCCCTCTCTTTCCTTCAACCCAAGAATAACTACTTGTGCTGTGATTCAGTGGCACTGGACTCATAAATTGACAGTGTTTCCCAAAATAATGGTGGACAAAGGAACAAATGCCCTGAAGAGCCCACTAGTGTGTGAAGCAGAAGCTGCTGTCATGAGCAGATATTGCTGCCTAAGCTCAGGCCAGAGGTGTGCAGAATTTTCTACAGAAACTTTCTGTTGCTTGGCACTGCCAGGGCAGCTGAGGCTGCCCAAAAGCACTGCCTGTCTGTAACAGCACTGGCCAGCTGCAACAGCCAGTCTAGATGCTGCCTGTTGGGACTGTGTAGAGGATGCTCAATGCTGATTTGTTTGATAGTGGAGGTAAAGAAATAACTCCAAATCTGACAAATATTTGTAGGAGGAAAAGAATTGATGCTCTCCTGTGTGGGTAGGAGGTGTAATAGCCCACGTGATGGCTGTTCCCGCAGGTCCCCAGTATGGCACTCTGGAGAAGGCCTGGCATGCCTTCCTGACAGCTGCAGACAAGCTCAGTGACATTCACTTAGATGTCCGGAACCACCTGGCTGGGGAAGATTCAGAGAAAATCAAGGCCTGGCAGAAGGAGGCCTACCACAAGCAGATGATTGGGGGCTTCAAGGAGACTAAGGAGGCAGAGGATGGGTTCCGCAAGGCCCAGAAACCCTGGGTGAAAAAGCTGAAAGACGTAAGCAACATGTGAAGGGGAGGGATGGGGTGGTGGGGCTGCCCAGCTGGTTACCTAATTGTGAGTGCTCTTAAGCAAGCAGTGTGACAGGATGCCAGAAAGGGAGGGATGTCTGAAGGAGTTCCCTTGGGGAGGGGGAGGCTTTCTCCACCCCTTGGAGCACAGAATCACAGAAGGCTTAAGGCTGGAAGGGACCTCTAGAGATCATCTAGTCCAACCCCACTGCTCCAGCAGGGACACCTAGAGCACGTGGCACAGGGTGGCATCCAGGCAGGTTTTGAAGATCTCCAGAGAAGGAGACTCCACAACCTCTCTGGGCAGCCTGCTCCAGGGCTCTGTCACCCTCACAGGAAAAGTTCTTCCTCATAAGGAGGTGGAACTTCCTGTGTTTCAACTTGCACCCGTTACCCCTTGTCCTGTCCCCAGCCACCACAGTGAAGAGCCTGGCCCCATCCTCCCTACAGTCACCTCTCAGGTACTTGAACATGTTAATCGGGTCTCCTCTCAGTCATCTTTTATCCAGACTAAACAGGCCCAGCTTGCTCAGTCTTTCCTCGTATGACAAATGCTCCAGTCCCTTAATCATCTTTGTGGCTCTCTGCTGGACACTCACTAGAAGCTCAATGAAATTTAACCAGCATGGCTGTTTAGATATCAAATTGGCCTTTCCTATTGCATTCTCCTGAAACAACTGCTGCTCATTGCAGCAAGGACATTAGATGTGCCCTCTCTGAGGGATGGAGTATCTCTAGGATCAAGATCATGGCTTTGACTCTGCATCACTCCTGCCACAGGTGGAGACTTCTAAGAAAAACTATCATGCAGCCCGGAAGGAGGAGAAGACGGCCCATACACGGGAGAACCATGCCAAGGCAGACTCCTCTGTCTCCCAGGAGCAGCTGCGCAAGCTGCAGGAGCGCGTGGAGAAGTGCACGCAGGAGGCTGAGAAGGTGGGAGCGCTTTGTAGAGGCACAGGCTGTGAGGACACCTTTGGTAGGGGGGCAGAAATGTGCTGCTTGTAGCATCAGCTCATGCTGAAAACTAAGTGTATGTAGGATCTTTCTGTTTGAGGCTTTAGCAAGCTAGAATGAGACTTCAGCAGTTTTTGTTTTTTTGGATGGAATGCCACTTACCAGTAAATGAAGGGGAAAGTGAGGAATTTGGTGCAGGGGGTGGGAGCTGCAGAGCTGAATGCCAGCTGCTGAAAGTGGCTGGCTTGCCTGCCTACCTGAAAAGGTGTGGAAGGGTGAATTGTGGAAGGAAGGGTAAGGAGGGATGAGGAACTTGCAAGACCCCTAAGAGAGCAACGCGCTGGGGTACTAACTTTGGGGCAAAAATGTCTTTTGCTGCCTTCTATACTGTATTGGCTTAGGAGTGAAGGGAAAAACCTCTTCAATTCCAGGCTGGAATGGAGGGGAGGGCTACTGGTTTAACATCAAGGCTACCTATCTCACTCCTGCTTTCTTCCTGGATTGATCCAGTGCAAGGATCACTATGAGAAGATGCTGGAAGAGCTGACCCTCGCTACATGGAGGATATGGAGCAAGTGTTTGAGGGCTGCCAGGAAGCAGAACGCAAGAGACTGTGCTTCTTTAAGGAGATGTTCCTGAACCTGCACCAGCATCTGAACCTCTCTACCAGTGAAAGGTACCAGCCCAAGTGATCCTTCCTTGAAGGTGGCTTTGTCGTAGGGTTGACAGGTGCTTTTCAAGGTTCTCTATAACCTTTAATCATATGGGACTTTGGAGACTGTGTAATTGTGCATGAAGTTAGGTTCTCCCTTTGCGCTTGGAGTTTGGGGAACAGCTTATTTATGGTGGTTCTGTCTGTTCCTGCTCATAGCTTCCATGCACTGTATCGAGATCTCTACCAAGTCATCATGGCTGCAGACAACCAGGAGGACCTGAAGTGGTGGCGCAACACACATGGACCAGGCATGGTGATGAACTGGCCTCAGTTTGAGGTGACTGGCTGATGATTCTAGAGTATTTAACTACCATCCTTACCACTCAGCTGCTTTATGGAAACTGATGGATTGCTAACCTTGTGTTTGTAAGAAATGTCTCTGCTCACTGGGCTTGGTGTGTTTGTGTCTTCTGAAACTTTCTTATGTTGAAAGCTCTCCTGGTGTGCAGAGGGATGGGTGTAAGCCATCTGCAAACTGCAGCTACTCCAGCCAGCTAGCTGCAAGGGCAGGGAACAGGAATCAGGGTTTAGGGCTTTAAAGCAACCTCTCATTCTAAACTTAGACCCTCTTGCTGCACTGGGATTTCATAGAAGTAAGCCTGCTGTGCTGCAAGGCTGTCTGTCTGGTTGATCAGCCACAGCTGAAGTATGTGGGTGTTCTTGCATTTTTTCTTCTTTCTGTTGGTCAGGGGAGAAAAGCCTTATATGCTTGAATCTGTGTCTTGATAGTATTATTTTCCTAATAGGAATGGTCTCTTGAAACACAGCGGCCAATCACCAAGAAAGAGAAGAGTGGAAAAACGACTGACGATGTGACGCTGACCAGCATTTTGCCTACGCGGGATGGGGTTGTCTCCCAGACCCCTCTGCAGACAAGGCAAGGGTAAGGGCTAGAGTCTGGGGTATATTAGGATAAGAAGAATATAGGCCTTCCCAGTGTACAAATTAGGTAAGACTGGTAGGAGTGAACTTTACTTAACCTCTTCCACTTTCAGCCCTGCAGTCCTGTCTATGCCACCCAAAAAGACCTGGTAGATAAGGGGACAGGGTAGGTTTTTGCTAGTAGGTTCAATCTCAGATGTTATGAAGGTCCCTCTAGTGATGAGATCTGGCCTGGTTCAGTCTAATGCTGTGTGAGGTTCTGGCAGGTGTTTCCTAATTCCTTTCTTCCACCTTAAGGAGGAGAGTTGTTAACTGGTAGCAGTGCCAGTTAACTATATAGTTTACTAAATACAGGCATTACTCTTCCCTGGAGTGAGGCTGAGTGCTATCTGTCAAGTTGGGATATAGCTGCTTCCCTTGCCAGGGAGAAAGCTGGAGAATAGTAGGGAGAGGCTCAAGTCTCAGGTCCTGCTGTGTCAGTTGCCTTCCTGCCTTAAAAGGTTGGCTCTGATGTAAGAAAACTGGGCAGGAAAGAATGGGGATGTAAAGATGTCAAC